ATCCGCACTTGCAAGAACTCAGCTGCGAGGCGTTCGAGGAAGGCGGAGAAGACTGTGGTCCAGACCTTCAATAACAAAAAGCTGCAATCCCACACTAATCCTGTGAGTCTACTTTCCTTGTTTTTCTTCCATACATCTGATGCGTTGGATTATGCAGGCTGCTCGTACCTAACGTAGCGTACATGTACTTTCTATTTCAATACATGCATACTCCTTTCCCTTATCCTGTCCATCCTTAGTTCCTGATATGGATGATGCAGGCCAGATCGCAGATAGCCCGCCATCAGAGATAATTGTCCTTAGATAAGATCACAGATCTAGTGATCAGCCGACTATTTGCCAACGATTGTTGATCGTCCACCAACTAGATTTCGTGATACGAAACTGATTAGAGCTAGGGTTAGCGGAATGTTGTATCTTGTAGCCTAACTACTGACAGTACTGGTACTTACACAATTGAGAAGCAGTTCCTTTGTGAATTTTACGTGGAGTGATTCCTTTGTCTCCATTGTTCTTACAGCACTCAGTTGTTCAGTTACCATGGCAATGGCATGTAAGTCCCACACAAGACCCATCTACATAACACATGTTCCAAATTACAATAATAGACAATAGTCACTTCCGAGTGCAGTAGACAATAGTCACGTCCGAGTGCGTCGGCAAACTGGTTTGGGTAGTCCTTGTACTGCAGACCCATGGTTTAGATTACAATAAGATTCCCATTCCCTAATATGAGATACATACATACGAGGAGTGCTGCGAATAATATAAAAGTCTTGACTGCTCGAGGAACTGAACATCGACTCTCTTTCCATATGAATTCCATCTGTCATAATCACTGTAGTCACCCTCATCCTTGTTTCGCGCGTCTGCCACGGGAACGCCTCTCATGGACAACACACCAATGGATGAATCCACGGAGAAGACTCTGGTTAGTGGTGCTCGCTGAAGTAGTCCGCACTGCTGAGCAAATCTAGCGCATTTGAGGGCCTTCGAGTGCAGAGGGAAACCAATCCAGCAAGAGGGTGCTGGCACCTGGTCCCGAGCAGAAAAGATTTGATGATGTAAGTGCATCAAGCTGAGACTGGTCTTGTACCTAAATGCTCCTAGGCTTGTTACAACGAGTCTCTCCACAAGCAGCGTGCAGAGGATGCAAGATTACAATGCCATGCCGTTGCTCAGGAAAACAAGGCCCTTTGAAATCAGCTCACTAGTGCCCTGGAAACCATTCAGGCTCATCAGGCAGAAGGTCTTCGTCTGCACGAGCTCATTGAGAAGATGGCTGACAATGAGGATGAGCTGCACGGTCAGATCATAGGAGACCAGGATGCACTTGCTCAGATGGTACGTTCTTTTGAGGTTATTCAAGAATGGCATTCATTTACGCGCACAGGCGAATCAAGTTACGATGGCTAAAAACCAAGTTGCAGAAATTTCTATGCAGTCTTCTTGCCTCCAGGAATCGCTGGTGAGTGGCGGATGCTCACTGTGATCCGTATTGGGTATGTGACAACAACATAGACCTCGCAAGAAGTTGAACTTCACAGACTACGCGCCCAAGTCCACAATCGAGAGGATGAGGTCGAACATCTTCGTCTTCAGGTGAAACAGGCGACACGCAACAGCATCCAAACCACCGGCGGGAAACGTTGGGGACGCGTCAGCAGCGAGTTTTTCCATCCAGGGAGGCCGTCGATCCTCACGCTTCCACTTGATCCTGTGCCGCTTCCGGATGAGGCTGACGAGTATCATGCGACTGGACGTGATCTTGCAAATGACCCCAATCTTGCAGCTCTTGCAGCCAAGTTTGACATGCAGGTAGACGAGGTGACCAAGTTCATGGCAGCTATGAAGCTTGTGAATGGCGGGAATGCTCTGCTTAGCATCGACTCCTCCGAATCCACAAACCGCAAGCCCAAACGTCGACCCAAGGCAGAAGCAAAGACAGCTGTGGCACCGAAGACAAAAGAACTGCGGAATTTGGCCCATGTAAGTCAAGGATCAGACTCTGAGGGAACGGAAGACTTACCAGGTTAAGGGCATGATGCGACTCATCACATACAAGAAATTTCAGCATACACAAGCGACCAATTTCATCTTTCACACCCCAGTGACGGAAGAAGAGGTAGATGAGTTTGCCAAGGACAATACATTGACCATCTCCAAGTGGCAATTTGACTTCAGTGAAGGCTACTTGACTTCAGCGTGGAATCTCGCTCAGATTGAGAGGCTCGTGGACGAGGCCGTGAAGGAGGATGATAGCAAAATGCGGTACATTCAGAAAGGAGAGATTCGGCGCGAGTATCTGGAGTGCGTTGCAGCTGAGCAGCTGGTGCGGTACCGTGGCAAATGGAACCAATTTCAGCCCAAGTGGGATGCGGACGAGGGCCGTTTTGAGACAAAAGCCGAAGCTACAGCTCGCGGCAAAGTGATCCTTTACTCCCGCCGCCTGGCTAGCCGAACTATCAATGGGCAGCACAATGTCGTATGCTCTTGTGGCCATGCAATGCAGATGCTGATTGATCCTTCCAGAAATATGACCAGCGCCGTGCCACCGTGGAAGCAACAATTGCCCTGAAGGAGGTGGACAATGCGGAGGATATCGTGACATGGAAGAGGATGCTGGAATTGCTGGAACTGCTTGGTGCAGGCGGGATGTCTGAGGAGGAAGAAACTTCAGCAACGGTCAAAGGCCACAAGATCAAGACTTACAAGATCAAGTTATGCGTCTGGCGCAAGCCAGCCATTGTGGATTACATGCGCATGGTTGACGCACAGACCATGTGCTTCCAGGCCCTTCACAATGGCACAAAATCCGCTCCACGCGTGCGAGACCAGACGAAGGGCAGCAGACCTCCGCTGAAAGGACTCCTGAAATGTTTGTACAAGCCTGACTGGCTTTCGTCGCTGACCACAAAGGAAGTTAAGGAACTAAAAGTCTCAAAGGAAGCATTTGCGCTGTTTGTCGCCACTACCGAGCAGATGGCGATATAGCATCTTCTGTAGGGGATGCATGTATGATATGAGTCTTCTTGTTATCTTCTTGTTGAACAGAAGTTTTGAAGTGAATCAAATTGGCATTTGAAGTTGAAAGTGGGGATCCGTGAGGCCTGCGCGGAGCTCTTTGAGCCAACAATGAGACAATTCATCCAGTTCTATCGGCGGCAGACGCCTGATAGAGACACAAGGTAGACAAGAAACATATGTAAGGCCATCATCTACAGTCGAAGGAGCTGATGTTGTGCAGGAGGAGGGACCAAGCCAACTGATATGACAGACCGCGCATCCAAACCTGATGCCCGCTCAAGTCAACTGTGGAGCGCAGGGACCAGAAAAATCACATAGTTTGGAGACTAGTAACATGTGCAGGGAATTGGCTTGAAACGACCGACCATCCCCCCATGAAACCCACTTGCGAGAACATCAGCAGCAGCTGGCTCGACCGGGCCATTTGTGCCTAATCCATAGTCCGAGTACACCGTGAGCTCGAATCATCTCTTTGGCACAGTCGGTGGGCCCTTTGAACTCGCAGTCCGCTAGTGATCTCTGCAATTCGCTCTAGTTCTATCGGCGGCAGACGCCTGGTAGATACCGTGAGTGAGTCGAGTCAATAAGATATGAAGTTGCAGTTGTCTTCCATGCTTGAGGGAGCTGCTGGCGGCAAACGCCTGGCAGCTCACGCTGAGGTAGTGTGGAGGAGGAAGAGATGTTGTCGAATCCCCCAAGTCTGCACGTGGGGATCATATGCGATCACTGATTTGAGCGCTGAGTCTACACGTGGGGATCACGTGCAATCACTGATTGCGGACTGAGGGGAGCTTTGGTATCCTTCCCGCCACCGCCATGAGCGGTTCCAGTCGCGGTCAGCAAGGTCAACACGGGACACGGGGACTCAGGCGTTTGCCGCTGAGTCCCAAAGCGCTAGAGCCGACGCGTATGCTGCGCGGCCCTTCAGCTTCTGTCTCGAATGTCCCACCAAGTGAGGAGAAACCCCACTGTCTTGTCCCTCTCGCGTCTCTGGAGGATTCTGAGAAGGACACTCTCCAGGTTAGTTTTTCATTCATTCTGCCGTCCTCTGTATTTGTGCTGATCCTGTTCCAGTCCACCGCTCACTTCCACGGGATTGTGCGCAACGACATTGGCGTGTTTGTTGTCTTCAATGGCAATCGCACCACCCTCCCCCCCCAACTTCTACTTGCATCCTGCGCTGTACTGCAGCTCCTGGATGGACACCCGCCGAGTGCACCTAGCATGCGGACCTCGGTATCCCATCTTTGACGGTGATCTGCTTGGTATTCTTGACATCTATGATCTCACTACAATTTCCGCCCACCAAAAGTCAGGAAACGGCTATTGGATTGAGCTGGGTGTTATCTCTGACTGTTGTTGAGAAATGGTCGAGTTTGGAAGGATTTTTGGTCCGTGTCGCGACCACCTTGCGTGCGTACATTGGCCAAGTTGTCCCAGCCGTGAATTGTGGGACAATGCACTCGTGTCCGATAACTTACGGCTATTCAAACTCCTTCCCCGCCAAAGAAGCGCTCATCACGGCTGTCTCGCATTCTCGTGACGCTTTCACGCCCCTGCTTGGAGCCATCGCTCTTTACTTTCTTGCTCTTGACGGGTCTTCCCAGCGTGCTACCTGGCGCGTGAAGCTCATCGAGTCTCTGAAACTGCAGCACCAACTGATGGATTCGCTGGAGGAAGTAGTGGAACGGCTTCTTCAATGTCCCGTGGGAATAATTTTGGACAGCACGAAGGAAAATCCTCGTGAACTGGATTGGCTCTTCTCCTTCATTGTCAACGGCACAAGTCACGTCCACCTTCCTGTGTACTTCTTTTTGGGAGAGGGAGACGCGGCCGTGATACGAGCAACTCATCTGGAGGCTTACCCTTCAATGCACGCCATCTGGCTAGATGTGCAGCATCGAATCCCTGCCATGATCCTTCTCCCTCCAACTCCAGTTGCAACCAAGGAGTAAGTCTTTGTCCAGTCAGACATGCGTCAATTCGGCATCATCCCCAATCCGGAGTACTACGCAGCTTTGGAGACCGAGAGACGGCAGTTTCCGCCTGTTGAGCCCTTCAGCGGTCAGAAAGCAGGGGAGAGCTATGTGGACTTCTTTGCCCGTCGCGAAGCCCGCAATGAGCACAAGCTTGAAGCAGAGACCAATCAGCACTGGCAGACGCACCTCCAGCGTGAACAGAATGCCAAGTCACAGAGTTGCCCAGGCAAAAAGGGTGCTCGGGTTTTCATCTGGGAGCAGAGAGATCATTTCTGGATACGTCGACTGGTCCAACGAGGTGAAGTCGAGGACAAATGGGTCAATTTTGCCGAGTCGCAGCGTGTGTACGACTCGTTCGCAAACGAATGGAATCTCTGTACACCACTGAATCCCGAAGCTCAAGTACCGTATGACGACGACAACGACAACGACAACGACTTCTATTCCCAAGCATTTGCGCAAGACTTCGACGATAACCTTCCCACAGGACTCTCAGAGGAAATGCAATCAAAGCTGAACGACGCTTCTGCGGTCATGCAGCACGTCAACAAGTAGCATGCAATGAACGTGGAGGAAGAACGTCCATGGGTCACACCTGTGCTCAATGCTACTGCTCAAAACCCCGTAAGAGCCGTTCTCGAATACCGCGTCGGGCTTCTTGACAGTCCCGGGAGCTCGTTTTCCGAGGACAAGATGCTTTGGACTGACATCAGCACCCATTTCCTGGGCGACGGACTTGCGTCCACACCCAAGCCATTGAGTGATGTGTCACGGGCTTTACTGAAAGCATTGAACAAGGCCAAAGTCGTCAACGATCTGCCACGCAAACTGTTCGACTTGGGAAACAAGGAGATCGCCGACAATGTCTGGTTCAGCAGTGGACTTGTCGTGACTGTGCTTGAGCATATACGCGACAAACCACATCACAGTACGGGATATGTGCTCAAGCCACGCAACCAAGGTGAAGGCGGCCGCGAGGTTCTGCTCTTCAGTGCTGCCACACTCATGTACCTTGTTCATTGACGGTGCCGGAATCACTTTGAAATCATCTCGCATTTGCATGACCTTGGAGCTCCCTTTACCATTGTGGTCGAGGGCTCCACTTTGGGTCCGTCTTTGTACCAGCCAGAACTGTTCCGTTGTCGCAGCCTCGGAGTCCGTCCAGAGGGTTACAAGCCAGACCAACACGATCTCCGCACGTATTGGGACTTACTCAAGCGCTTTTTGCTTTCCCCGCGCAGTCGACTCGCGCTCCAAGCCGGTGGTGTTGTTGCTAGGCTTGCTCGCATGATTATCCATGACTCAAACTTGGAGTTGAGTTCAGATGATGTTGACATTGAGATGGCGGAGCAGCAACTGCGAAGCGGTGCCACCTCACTGTACTATCATGCCTTGACTCGAGAACAAGAGGATCTTGTTCTCGGGGTGTACAGCATCGAAATGAGTGAGTAATTCTTTTGCTTTGCTGAAAAGAAGTTAACGATATGTCTTTAGACCAACTGAATCCCGCGGCACACAGCGGACATCAAGAAAAACGAGTTTTGTGGTGGCCGCAAGCAGGAGCTTACTATTCATCAGGAATGAACGTTGGTTGGTGGACATCAGATTGCGAGAAGTGGTTCCAGGGAATCTTAGCAGAAATGGAGGCAAACAAAGCCGAGGTTCTCAATAACATGCGCTGGAAGGGCCGGATTTGTGGGTACAGTGGCGCTTTGTGCCTTGCCAAGAACCTTGACGCAGTTTCTGCCGATTTCCTTTCCCATCTTGGCTGAGTGCTTTCCAACAATTGGCTCTTTCACGACAACGAGTGTATCTGTATATAGTCTGTACATAATGTGTCCGTACGTATCTCAATCTACCTGTGTATTTACCGTCCGTTCCGCGTTTTGGATGATGAGCGATTTACATCAAGACAATCAGCGTTGGGTCATCGGCTGACCATCGGCCGATAGATGATTAAAGCCCTGATATTGAAGATATTGCGGCTGATCTGTTATCAGCTGCAATATCTTCAATATCAGGGCCACTTGTTGCCTGCTTTTTTTAAACATATTGAGACAAAAGATGGACTTCATGAAAATTAAACTAAAACAGATCCTATATCCGGCCCTGATATCTCTGAAATGGGGACAACAAACAACTTGACTTTTATTGATCTTGATATTATCCTTATCAGCAAGCTTGTTTTGGGTACTGATTTCTCATGTATTAGGGAAGGTAAATTCGACTCTTTTTCTTTTAATATTGAGGTAACTATTCACGGACATTTCATGGACCCCAATATATGCAATATTGGTTATTCGCTGGGGCTCACGTTAAGTGCGATCCCTCAGGGTGATTGGTCTGGACTCAACGTCAGTAAGGCTTTTCTCTATGGAGAGCTTGACGAAGAGGTCTACATGGAACAACCTGAAGGCTTTGTGGCAAGAGGCCAAGAGCGCAAAGTCATGCGCTTGCACAAGGCAATCTATGGACTCAAACAAGCTGCTTTAGCATGGTGGTGACAAGCGTTGACACGCCCTGGCTTTGTAAGCGATCAGTGTGGCACTGCTGCATTAAGGTGCACAGCATTTGGTGGCGGATTTATCTCTCGGCTTGCTGGCCACACGGCTGCACGCTGCCCAGAGTATTTGCTAGTTCTTTCTATGTTTCAGATTGGCATCATTGGGGAATTATTTTACTGCACAGACACATCCATATGGGACCAATAAGGTGAAACATGTATTTTATAGAATTACATGTAGAACAGGCACTTTTGGGATGCTTGGAGCGCTTCTTACCGGGTAGTTAGGTGTTTTTCACAGACCCAATATGTTCTTTATCAATTCGAGACTTTACTATAAGTAGCTACGGTATATTCCTTCAAAAACAAGTTCTCTTCACCCCAAAAACCAAGTGCTCTATTTCAGCATCTAAAAATTCAGCCTCCCTTCGCCATCTATATTGTCTCCATCGCCTCCACCGTCTCCGTTGCCTCTGTTGCCCTTGCCGTTGCCCGCTGCCTTTTTGTACCATATTCCCGAGTCTTGATCCTTGTTGGGACACCCTTGCAAAACAACAACCCTTGCGGCTGTCTGTTGAGCAGCACTGTTGATTATATTCACACCCCACCTCTCCGGTTGATTTTCGGGCTCACAACCGCCACAGGCGTGTCAGTGGAAAGTGCTGACCAAGTCCACGAAAGCCATTGGCTGGATCCGACTAACATCGGATGCCAGCGTGTTCTTCTACAAGGACTCTGATGGCAGCATAGCTATCATAATAGTCTATGTGGATGATGCACTGTTCTTCTCCAAGAACAAGAAGCTCCTCACCTTTCTCAAGGCTGAGTTCAACAAGCGATGGGAATGCCGCAATTCTGAAGATACTCCAGAGTTCTTGCGCGTACGCCTCAGTAGAGTAGGATCTTCGATCAAGATTGATCAGATTCCCTATCTCGACAAGGTGCTAAAGCGCTTTGGAATGCAGAACGCCAAGTTTGCAGCGACCCCTCTACCGGCTGGATATGTTCCAATGCCAAACAAGGATGAAGTTGATCCAGAGCTCAGGAAGAAATTCCAATCAGTAATTGGATCTCTTCTCTTCATCATGTTAGGCACACGTCCTGACATTGCATTTGCTGTGACCAAATTGTCACAATTTGCCGCCAATCCATCCCAAGACCACCTCCACAAAGCGCTGTATATCTGCTGCTATTTGGCTGGTACTAGGAATTATTCGCTCATTTTCAATGGTGCGACGGATAGAGGGCTAATTGCATTTAGCGATTCAGACTGGGCTGCTGATCTGATCAAGAGGAGGTCTACCACTGGTTTCTTCACAAAATTGGTGGACAGGATTATTTGCTGGCAGTCTAGACTTCAGCGCACTGTCGCGCAGTCTTTGACCAAAGCAGAGTACATGGCAATCTCAGATTGTAGTCGCCAGGTGATGTGGCTGAAGAGCATCCTTTTGGAACTCCAGTTCAAGCTCACCATCCCAGTACCCATTTGCGGTGACAATCAGGGTGCACTCTTCAGCGGCAGCAATGCCTACCGAGACCGCAGGATGAAACACATAGACATCTGCTATCACTGGAGTGGCTGGTTGTCGTGATGGAAGCAGAAGGAATCCTATCTGTGTCAATGAACATCCTCGTGTGAACTATGGACTGATCTGGGGCACGTGACCCCTACTCCATGTGCCCCCATTTTAAATGGCAACGCCCTCGTCGCCTCCGACGTCGCCCAGGTCTTTCTCTGCTTGACGCAAACGCCATCACTCAACCTCATCGAGTTCGGCTTGTCTCAGCCTGCCCACCTCCGTTGCCTCATCCATCTCGCGTTTTGATCTTGATTTGGCCCGCGCACTTTTGAGTGCAGCCTGTGCTATTGCTAGCTGTGTCCCAGCTCTGGGGACGTATTGTCGAAGTCGTCTAGCATTGAAGACACCGTCTATGGGCGTCCCCTCGACCGATTCCAGCCGAACTGAGTGCAGCAGCTTGTCCTGCACCCTATGCGGCTCCGACCACCGGCACGTCAGTTTTTGCTCGTTACTAACCGTGTTGGCCAGGTCGCTGCGAAACACCTGGACTAGGTTGCCAATCTCGAAGGCCACGACCCCTGCCCTCGACTTCATCACCTTCCTGTCAAAGGCCGCCTTGCAACCCATAGCGTACTTGACGCGCTCCGCGTATCCGTCCAGTCGGAGCTGTTCCGCGTATTCCATGTGCAACACCATGTCGCTTGTCAGTGGTCGCGAATTGACGTCCGGGTGTTGCCCTGCATCCGGTGTCGGTGTCATGAGTCCAAAAAGCAGCTCCCGGGGCGAGAACTTCACCGCCGGCAGTAGTCGGTCGTTCATTGTCTCGATGGCGGTGTCAAAATGGTCCGGCCAGAGGCGTGGTAAGTCGTCCTTTTTTGTGGATTTCCACGTGTCCTCACCAACCTCCGGTGCGCAGAGCCTCGCCAGAATGTACAGCAGGATCCTATTCGCTCCCTCGACCGGCCCGTTAATCCACGGGGAATATGCAGCGACTTTATGGAACCGGACCCGTCGGCGTTTGCATAATGCCTCCACGTCCTTGTTGGCGAAGTGAGAGCCATTGTCGGACATGAAGACCTCCGCACTGTGGAATTTGCTGAATATGTGTTCGAGTGCAGCTGTGGTAGATTTAGCAGAACCGGATTCTTTGAGCTTGAACCCCCAAACAAATTGTGAGAACACATCGAGGAACAGGCCAATGGTCTTGAAGCCGCCTTTGCCGTCTGGCATCGAAAGGTAGTCGCCCACAATAAGCTTGAAGGGTTGTCGACGTGTAATGGGGTTCATCAGCGCATGCAGATTTGCAGGACCAAATCCTTTGCACTTGGCGCAGTCCGCGATGGCTCTCATGATGGAGTCGTCCAAGCCCGGGCTATGGTATTTGTCCATCAGTGCAAGCTTGACAGCATCGCGGTGAAAGTGTCCCCCTTTTGCGTGCACGTCTACTGCCTTCTGGCGAGCTTCCTCACGGGTAAGGCATTCGCGCCATGAGCGTCCCCTGACCACTGTGCCACCTCCTGCGCGCCACAATTGACCCTCCTCAATGAAGTACTGCAATGCTCGGTGCCGGGCTCGCTTTCGGTCAGCCAGGCTGGATCCCAGATCCATTTCCGTCAGCGCGTCCACAACCTCCTGATACATCGGCTCGTCCTTGAAGCGTTCCCAGAGTTTCATGGTGCCCTCGGGTACCCGGACTACCTCACAGACGAGCTCCTTGGTCCTGCAATCATTGATTGAAAACAAGTCGTTGGTTAGACCGGTCCGAGCCTCCCAGTCTGGGGAGACGCTTGACTCGCTCCCATTGCCTGGGGTTTTCGGTGTCCCCTCCGCAGCCCGGCTCAGCGCATCCGCCACGGCATTTGTCAACCCTTTGATGTGTTCCGCACCAACAATGTTGTAGCCCAGGAGTCCGTTCAGCCATCGAGTGTGTGTTGCATTGAGCTTCTCGTTGTTGAGGATATCGCGCAGCGCTTGGCAGTCCGTCTCCAACCAGATCGGCTGGCCCCATACAATATTGGAGAACTTGTCTAGGGCGAATTTTAGTGCGGCAAACTCCAATAGATGCAGCTGATACCGCTCCTCAGCCACTGATGTCCGCTTGGACGCAAATGCAATGGGATGCCGTCGGACCACCACTCGCCCATCTGATGTTGTCGACTCCATTTTCTGTGAGAGAACACCGGCAAAAGCGTCCTTGCTGCCATCGGTGGTGATGATGAAAGGGTGTTTGTGGACGGTGTCGTATAGCGGGGCTCGAAGCACTGGCGCGGAAAGGAGGAGTTGCTTGAGCCGGAGGAAGCACCAGGTGTGTCCTGGGGTCCACAGCAGTTGCAAGTCGAAATTCTTCATGACCGTCTGGTAGACTTGACGACTGGGGCTGGGCGGCATCGGCACGGACTTGAGGAGGTTCCAAAGTGGTGCTTCCTCTCTGGCATAGTTCTGGATGATATCCCGGAAGTATCCGGTCAGCCCCAAAAACGCCGCAAGGTTGGTTGCGTTTTCCAGTGTCTTCCATCCCACCACCGCTGTAAGCTTGGTGGGATCTGGTGTAACCCCCTGAGGGCCAACCATTGCCCCCACAAACACCGCTTCCGTCATGAAAAGCCGCGTCTTTGCCACCGACAGCGACAGACCCTCCAAACGGACCCGATCAAAGACCAACCGCAGCTTGTCCATCATCTCCTCAAACGTATCTGCCGCAGATCCGCCGTTGTCCACAAACAACTCCATGACCCGTACCAGCAGGTCGCTGAGCTTGTCCGCACACATGGCACCGAACTCTGTGGGAGCGTCTGTCAGCCCGAATGGCATCCGCATGTAAGCAAAATATCCCATGCCTGGTACGAACATCACAAGATATGGCTGTGCGTTCTCGTCGACACGTAGGGCAAAGAACCCTGAGGCGAAATCGAACACCGACACATACCGGTGTCCAGCCAGGCGTCTCTGCTTGTCCTGAATGTCACCTTGCGGCACAGGGACCACCTTCAGTAGAGCCTTCAGCTCGTGAAAGTTCTGGCAGATCCTCCACTGCTGCTCTTGTGGCCGCTCGGGCCGCGAGTTGCCGCGGGTTCCCAAGTCCACCTCTGTCTTGTAGGGTAAAGGTAACCCTGCTTGCTCGCATGCAACGTTGAGCTCACGCTTCAACTCCTTGTGCAACAAGGCAGCACCGTCGTGCTCCTTCTGTGCCAGCTTGATAGGTGATACACACTTTACGTCCCGGGGATGAATTGGGCGGATAACCCCGGCCTCGACCAACTTTTGTGTTTGCGCCTGTAGGTATGCCTCCTGTGGTGGTGTCATCGGTTTCTGGTGGACCTTCGTGCTGAACTTGTGGTCAGGCAGGATCTTTGCTGCGTAAGTTGCGCCCTCCACCAGGAACACCTCTGATACTGAGAGTGCGAAGATGTCGGCATAGCTGGCAATGAAGTCTTGAGCTTGCATCCGTTGTTCGTCTGACAGATCTGGTCCAGTCTTGACCAGCTTCAGAATTGCTGCAACCCACTCTGGTTTGAATGGATTGGTGGCTCGCGTGAATATTGATGTGTTAGGTACATCCGGTAGTGCCTCCGGGCTAGCAATGTCCATGAAGTTGCCTGGTATGGCGTCAGTGACTGACGCAACAATTCCTGGTTTGTCATCCAGTACTTCCCTCGAAGGGGGTGCGCTACTTCCCCCTGTCGAGTTTGCTTGCGCGTCCATACCCTGGAATATTCCAGCCACCTCTTCCTTGCCTTGCTCATCCAGCCATATCCGCTCAGGAATGTGGTCCGTCATTGGAGTTGCCATCGCAGCAGTGATTTGTGCTCCCCTCGAGGGGGTTGTCGGGAATGAAGACAGGACCCCCTGGAAGGGCACACCTAGTCCCGTAGTTCTGGAGGATCTCTTCCTGCCGCTGTGGTTATGCAGCAGGATCTCGGTCTCACCATATGCACCTGGGAGCTTCACCATATCAGCGGCGAAGTCCTGTACTGCGTGCACGGCAGCAAGAGATGGCTTCCCAAACAGGAAGTCCCAGCCGCCTTTGCTGTCAAAGACCTCCAGTTGAACAGCCACCGTTGTGCCACCCACACAGACATCACCGTCCCAGTGCGCCACCGGCCATGCAATCGATCCGTCCGCCATCCTCAGCGCCCGCTTGGATGGCACTCCACCTCCCAGCTTCTCCTTCAGCCTGTTCCACACCGACACGTCCATGGCGCTAACCGATGCACCACCATCGAATAGCGCGTTCACACGCGTCCCGTCTCCTGAACTATCCACCACCATGATTGGATGCATGAATGGCGGTGATCTTCCGGTGTCCACAGCATAGAGCTCAAGCACTTTGTATTCCACATTGTTGCGAATGACATGCGAACCATCTATGTTACAGGCGCCGGGGCTAGACTCTTGCCCTGGGCGCGGAGTCACTGCTTGGGCACTCACAGTGACTCCCCCGGAAAACCCTGCTCGTCATTGTCGTCCATCCAGCTTCCCAAAACAGCGTTGACAGCAACCGGCACGGTGCGAGGAAGGTTTTTTGAGCAGATGCGGCGGAAGCGCCGTTCAGGGAGAGGGATTTTGGCGCCGTCACAATCCGCAGCGTTGTGGCGCGGTGCAGTGACTTTGCTGCAGTTCCAGCATTCACCGCTGCCAGGCCAGACCGTGCCCGGCGACAGCGGGACTCCAACCTCCTCCACGGGACGTGCCGAACTCATCTCTTTCCAATGCTGGAACAGCGTGTTATACCGGGCTACATCCGTGGCGGAGGTCGAAAGCAGCGGGGCGGCAGATCGCATCCGCTCTACCACGTGGATGAGGTTGGCCATGGCTTCCGGGCCCAGAATCTTGGGTGATGAGATAAACGCGGGAGCTGGGATGTGCGTCGACGAGATGTTGGTGCGGCCCAGCTGAGTGCGGATGTGGGCGGTGGGGGATGCAGGGATGGCCGGCAGCGGCACCCCCAGTCCGCGCGCCCGCAGAACGGCCAGTTCCGCTTCGACCTTCTGGGTTCTGGCTTCGGCTTTGACCATACGGCGCTCCTTCTCCGCGGCCTCAATGAGCTGGGTGACATCGACCTTCTCGATTGCCTCCGTGAATGCGGTCCAGTCCTTTGGTGCTGGGGGCGTTTTGTCCTTGAGCGAGTCAGGGAAGTGGTCGCGTACCGCCCAGATGTTGCTGCTTGACTTGTCGACTCCGGCTTTCTTTGCGGCGCGCATCAGTTTGCGCGCGAAGGCTATGTGTGCATGGGTGTTGACACCGCCGAGAGCAATCTTGGTGCCTAGCTCATCGAGCCCAATGCGCATCACTGCGAGCTCCTTCTCCCATTCCTGGGAAGTCTTCTCGGCTGCTTGTGGGACGTCAAACTCCTGCACGAACGTGGCGTGCGCGGCCGACCACGTTGTGAAGGGAGTAGCGCTGGCCTGCGCCGCCTCCCACCCGATGTCGGCGGCTTTGCCCGCAAGAAGGGAGTCGCCGAAAGCTTCCAGTTTCTCTGGTTCGGCCAATCCGAGACCAAGTATCCGGTTTGCAAAGACCCTTGCAAAGTCCTTGGCTGAGACGTTATCAGCCCCTGCTTCGCCCAAGTACATTCGGGTTTTTTCGGCGTTGGTCATGCGTGCCGTGGTGTTTTTCGGTTTGGGGATGTGTCGTGTAGGCTGAGTGAGGGCAGTGACAACCAGGGGAGTGGCAGGTGCAGCGGGTCCAGTGGTGACTGCGGGTGCAGAAAATGTTGGTAGAACGTTCGGGTCGAGCGCGGGTGTGTTGGAGCGAGAGATTAGCTCAAATGGTGTGGTAGAACCGCTGCCACGTAGCGTGTTCTCGGGTGTGCTTGGTCTGCTCGTATGCTCGGGCACGTCCGTTGTCTCCAGGGTTCTTCTGAAGCGCTCTTTTTCGTCTCTCAGGTGCAGCTCTCGGTTGCTACTGCGTCTGCTGCGGTCGGCCACGGTAACGTCGTCTACTGTTATGCGTGCTGTGTGCGTTGAATCGTGCTCTTGTCACCAGATGGAGTGGCCGGTCGTCGTGATGGAAGCAGAACGAATCCTATCTGTGTCAACGAACATCCTCGTGTGAACTATGGACTGATCCGGGGCATGTGACCCCTACTCCATCACTAAATCCATGAGCGAGTCGAGGAAGAAGAGGTTGAACTGTTCTTTATTCCGGGCAGTGAGAATCCTGCAGATATGTTCACCAAGAACCTAGGACACGTCAAGTTCGAGAAGTTCAGGTCTCAACTAGGACTTGAGTTCAACTCATCCTGAAGGAATGGCCGATGAAGATTTCACTTTCAAACACTATCCCGTGGTTTTCAGCGTGGGGGAGTGTTGATCAAATATCATCTGTCAAGATGGATGTCATGATACACATCTATGACTCCATCACATGTCATCTAGAGTCATATCGACTCGTCCCAAATAGACACAAACAGCCCCCTGTATCATATATAAGGAGGGCTCTATTACCCTTTAATACAAGTCTCTTGACTAGTCCCGCATAGTGCCCACACTAAGCTCTCACTCACACAGGTGAGCTGCTAGACGCTCTCCCCAGTGCTCAACATACAGACGAAACAGAATCAACTTTTCTTGTGCTAGAACACATCTTGGAAATAGCCTCGTTCTCTATTATCCCCCAAACTCAATGTTGAAGCTTGTATTAGAGACTATCACAGTATGTAGACATGACATCATATGTAGTATCTTTAGATTACTTTGGCTCGCTCCACAATGACCTCATACCTGACCTCATTATTGTGTCATCCATTACTCATCTATGATATCACTACTCCACTATCACATCATGATATCTGATCCAGACTAGTATATAAACCTAGTACTATACACTCCATATCCTCAGCTCTGTGTCTTCTACACTTGCTGAGGTATGCATACTCTCTTATGATCTCTTACAACTCAAAATCATGACTTGTACCTAGACTCTGTCTCTATAGGTACTGCTAATGTCAGCTCTGTGTCTTCTACACTCGCTGAGACTCTGTCTCTATAGGTGATCGCTACTGGTCGTATCTCCACTGCGCGGTATTGTCTGCGACACTCAAGGCATGCAATTCCTGGGAGCATCGAGAAGATCATCACCCATGGCAAAGATGTCATGTTCCAGATTCAGCACCAGGCGCCATTGGCCCAGGGGTTGCATGATCCATATGCATGCTATTGGCTATTTTTCCCTGCGCACACGTATTCCGCTTTGATGAGTAATATTGTAGACATAGTCCCTCTTTACAATGTTGTATCTCATTATGCGTGTTTCAATTTCTCTGAGGGTTGATGTGTTGTTCTTGATTTGTTGACTAGTTGATATACTGGATATATGTCATCCTTGACTATCCCAATATTGATTTGTTTTCTGAATGTTGGATGAGTGGCCAATGAGCAATGGATGAGCAGGCAGACCATCAGCTGATATATAAAATAGGACCTGATATCAGAGATATCTGCGCAGACCGTTTTCGGGCCACAATCTCTTAAGTATCTGAGCCGCTTATCTTTGACTTTTTTTGTAGGAGCTTGAGGGCAATATTGTGTGCCACCATCTATCAGGTATAACCAGGCCATGATATCTTACAAAAACTGACCAGAAAAAGGACACTGTTGATCAGAAATAATATCTCAATAATTGTGAGCCTCATTTTGAGACACAATACCTGATATAACGGGAAGTCGATCAAGTTCCCTTTTTCTTAAGATATCGATTTACCTATTGTAGCTCACCTTTTGTACATCAATACTTAAGATACTGTATAACATCGGGTACCGGGCCACCTTAACGTTTTTGGCCTGGTGCTCGATACTGATACATAAAATTGGGTGGCCTATGTATTCTAATCTATGGGCAAGGATCCTATCTAAGACCTCTAGATTGTACAATAGCTGGTTGCTGCTTGTACCGAGCTCTGGAGGTCATATGGTCAGGTTGATCCAAATCAGGAAAGTATTGTCATCCGGGCCACCTCGCCCTCAGTGCAATGAGCATAGGGTGACGAATACACACCTGGCAGATGAACGATGGAACCCCACCCAATCGTCCTACCAAGTCCTAGCGCGACCCCTTGAGCCATTCTTACATATGAGCCCACTCCTCCAGCTGCCATTCCCATCCTCAATGACTGTTTTAATGTGTTTCCTGCTGTTATGCAGGAGTGATGGTCTTTCGGGAGGCTAGATGTGCTCTTATTCAAAGGATAGCTCGAATAGATTCTGTAAGTGTCCATGGTTGACGTCAGGTCCAACAAATACAAGTGTTCGGGCCTCAGAACACAAGAATTCACACGACATTGGTGGGAACACAGATTCGGACCGCAATCCCAAACAAGTCAATGGATCAGTCAACTTCAAAATTGGTACTCAGACGCTCTGAGGGTATTAGTCCCTTGAACAAATATGAAAAACTCGAAATATAGTACTGTTAGAGCGTAGGGGGCAAATGGCCCATTTCCTGATTCAGCCCACATGGTGATATCATACAGTATAATTCTAACTTTATGGCCTCTTTTAATAATAATCTGCCGGTGTGTATGTGACATCCCACGTGATGTTTGGGTGGGGTTGATCAACATATTCTCCTCTTTGAACATTACTGGCATGCCAGACTCACTGAAGCAGCACCATCGGACACGTAACGTGTTCACGACGGCAGAAGATGAACACTTCATTGTGTTTCTCGCGACAGTGCCAATTGGTCAGCGAGCATCGCTGAGCGTACACAAACGGGTATCAGAGGTGCTACGTGTGCTGTCCCCAAAGCGGCTCGAAATTCTGACCAGACTGATAGACTCCATGGGGCACGCGACACGGCCAGAAATCTTGGCAGCAGCGCTATCTGAGGAACCGGACTGCTTACGACGCTAAATGTAATCTCAGTTCTCTCTGGCATGCTGAGAAAGGTAGGGTGGCTGATGGCGGGATACAAAAGTGAGCAGTTTCTGCTTCATTTCAGTGTCCGTGCTCATATACATTCAATGGCAGCGACCGAGACAACCACACGGGCGATTTGGATCCAGAGGATAATAACACGGGTGCACAGTTTGTCACATTTTGCTTCAACTTACTTGTTCTTGAGGCAAGTGCTGCAGAGAAAAGACTTGGGAGACCTTGGATCAGTATCTCAGCTGGCCGTTCTCGAACATCATCAAGCACCCCGTTTCGCCAGAAGACGTGCAGATATGTATTCAATTCACGGTTCAGTTTCTTGCCCAGCAGTTCTCGATGACACCTGCGGCCGTAGCTGCTGTCTGGGCGCAGGAGAACTGCATTCTGAAAACCGGCCAGATTCTCGATGCTATCAAAGGCGCGCGATACGAGGCACACTGCAAAGATTTGGGCCGTCCCGAGGTCGATGAGCATGGGAGTGACCGGGAGATGGAAGCTATATCCACTGATCTGAACGACGACGACGACGACTCAAACTCGACCTTGGGCTCTGCTTCGTCCGCCTATACCCCAGACACTGTTCTCGTTTTGGACGACTCGCCTCCACAACCTGTGCAGCAAAGCGCGCCTGTCCTCTATGTTTCTGATTCGGACAACGACGGAGAAGATATCGTTCTTCTCGAATCCCCACCCCCTGCGTTTGCTGCCTCGTTTCACAGTACCCAGAAACTCCCACGCATTGAATCGCTTCACGAATTATCGGATTCGGAACCAGACGACTTCTCGTTTGCTTATCCCCTTCATCTCCCCTCCACTCCTCAAAACTCGTCGCCAACACCTCATCGTGAAGTGGCAGAACACGAGCTCGGCCCATTCAACCGTTGGTTTGATCTCGGGGGCAAGAACCAGTGTCTCAGTGAGATCGACGAGACGGACGAACTTGCTGATGACGAAGCGGACGACGGGTCGGATTGTCGCATTATTCCGACGCAGAAATCGCTATTTGGTTCTCAACCAGCTTGCCGAACGCAGGGTTTCGGTCATTCCTGGACCCAGAATTCACTCTTTGACGATGCATCCGAGCCTCAGTCACTGACTCAGGCGTATCGCGACTACTTGTTCGCTGATGGTTCCCAGTCGAGGCTCATGCGCGGTCAGTGAGCATCTGCTCTGTTAGGACCTTTGTATCTTGGGCTTTCAGTCGCTTTCTTGGTTGACAGTCCACGGACAATTGACGACTTATCTCGGATCTGAGTCTTTTTTCATTCTTTCTGATACATCTAGATCTACAACCGAGTCATGCGAATTTGCATCGGCACTCTCTACAGTTGTATAAGATACCCTTGGTTTCACAGCGCACAATATTACTTTGGTTGAATTTTGATCGAGTATCCCGAGTGATGAATCCAAGAGCCTACATCGAAGCCAAAGGTCCTGCGGACGCCGAACCAGATGCAAACCAAATTACAATTCGATTGGACCGAGCGGACACATAGAATGTACAATAGCAAGCGGACAGTCATGTACGACCCGAACTACCAGTGCAGGCGATGGGTAGGACACTGATAGCCCATTGGATTCTTGAAGAGATACAACTGGTGGTATGCTTCGGCGTCCCACCAGGGACCCGCAGGGATGATCTCGGTAACGATCTTGGATCCCTGGAGCAACGATGAGGAGCTATATCATGGAGTGCCGAGACGCCATGGGCGCACCTTCGGGGTAAAATGTTTCGCTTGCACTTCATCCGTCACTCGCTTCGCGATTTCAACCTGCTCTGGCGTAACGGTGAATATGGCGCTGCGATATTCTGTGAATCCAATGAGCCGGGTCAGCAGGGGAGACAGCCATTGCACAACTCACGCGTGCCTACATCCCCGCCCTGCCTGTTCACAGTTGTTGGATCATGCGTTCGGTAGAAGAACTCCACCAGCTCGTCGTAGCTGACCAGCTTCGGGTCGAACTCTATCCGCACACTCTCCGCGTGCTCCGTGCTCCCGGAGCAGACCGTCTTGTAGTCGGGGTTCGTCGCAGACTCGAGGCCACCGGTATACCCCACGGTCGTCTTGAGGATGCCTTTGGCCGGCGGGAAGTGTTTGACGAAGATGTGCTCGGTGCCCCAGAAGCAGCCCGAAGCGAAGATAGCGACTTGAGTGGTGTCTATGCAAAGGTAAGCACGGAACACGCAATAGCCTGCAGGGAGCTCCGATGTATTCACCGGACATGACTGGAAGGATGGTTGATGGGGTTGTCGAAGGTCTGAGGGGATTAGGGTCGGGTTTAATGATGCGATTGTCCCAGAGGTTAATGAGCAAGCTGCAGCAAACGCTTACTACGCCGACGAGGATGGTGGCAGTAAGAAGGCGCGATCGAAGAGATGAGTAAGGCATCATCGAGCACGTGAAATGACCAATAACCCCGACTTCACATGTCACATGTTCCATTAAGATCTGACCCTCGCCCTGACACTCGAGTGCTGTCGCTCGCTGATATCAGGCTGAAAAGGCCAATACACTGACAATAAGAAATTCTGGGCCGAGATCACGGCGCCGTTCGCTCGATGCAGTACTGCAGGTGCGCTTGTATTGTGATTGTGACACTGAACATTCTTCATCCATACCGAAAAATCGCAGGTGTACCTCTTGCACCCCGAGTAAGAATCAGAGTCGTTGAATTGTCAAGACTGTCACTTGTCCGCGCCCGGAGAGCGGTGATTTTTTTTGAGCCGTGTACCGTGCTGGCCGGGCAGGCTTCTTGGGCAATTGTTTCCTGCCAGCGCAGTGAGGATATGGCGTCAAGAGAGCACGTGGACTTCAACTCACCTTGATTTGACAATGAATTTATGCGCATGTGCAGAAAAACTACAGCCACTCGGCACCCATTTTCACCCCTAGCTCTGCGACTCGGTCCTCAGTATGTAGCGGAAATGGGACGCGAGTTTACAATCAGCGTGGGCCTCATAACGCGTCCTCGGTGTGAAGGTACCGGCACAGATCGTGTGCGGTGGCAGAGGTGCCAGTCCGATCCGGGGCACATGTGTGAATAGGGTTAACTTGAGTTCGGTCGCACAGGAGATAGCAACGAGCTGACCTTTTCATGAAAGTGATGATTGTATTCCAAGATTCGCTCGCGGAAACAAGCAAGCTCGGGACACTGCCAGTGCATTCACTGTCCCAACTCGAGAATAAGACGTCTCCGCACCCTCTCCCTCCGTCATATCGCGTCGGCCGTAAGATTGTGGTTTCCAGAAGCGTGCTGCAGTGCCAAAAAATTGCAAGCGTTGACTCGAGTGAATCGGGTCTGACGTGCAGATCAGCATATTTCACGATTAGAAGCTGAGCAGGACGCACCATCATCGAGCGCTGGATCCGAGGCAAAAGTGCATGGGTGGGCAAAACGTTCGTTCTGCGGACCTAAGGCAGTGACGCCGTGAAGCCTGTGATTACAGTCAGTCGCGAGCTCTTGCTGTAGCTGTGTTCATATCATACCACTTAGCATCGGTGCATCATCCTAAACAGATCTAGAGTCCCAGAAGCCTTGGGATATGGCGCTGAGCGGACGGGGACGCTGGTGTGATCCGAGTCCTGGACACCTCGTCGAGAAGTCGAAGGGACCGATTGCATACCTTGTTTAAAGATGAGCCTGGACCGTAACCGTAACGGTTCGGAAGGCCAAGCCACTCACCAAGATAGTACGCAATCGTGAAAAGTTGGACGTCTTCGTCCCTCCAGAATGTTGGGTACAGAGGTCCTACAAGGCAGGAGGATATCCAGACGGACGCTCGTCACATAGACGCGGAAGGCCATGGACACGTATCGCGCCCCTCGAAAGAAGCACGAGAAAAGGACTGAGTCCGCTCTGAGGAATATCCCATTGACGTGATAACGGAGGATCTACCTCGCTGGGGATAAGAAAAAACTGGGGGGGGGCGCCGTGTCGTAGATTGAAGCGCAATACGACGGCTGCCACTAATTTGCTCCGACAGGTGCGTGAGGGTACTTGATGCTCCGTTTTCACGATGGTGGCTTGAGTACTGAGTCCATGAGGCATGGTTCCCTATCTATTGAGAGAGCAGGTCGAGTGACATTAGCAAGCAGACCGGAGCTATTTCGTCACTGCCACCATCACTGACCGCCTTCCTCAACAACTTTCACGACTCGAATGGCTGCCCCACTTATCCAGCGAGTCCAGCAACACCCCGTTTACTTGTCGAACGCAATATTCACGCTTCGGCTCGGAGCTCTCTTGCATTGGGTGTATTATCCTGCAGATCCGCATCCCGCTGTACTCTTGCACTGAGGCTCACACGGACTTCAGATCAGAACCCACATATTCTATAGACCAACACATTGCGACTCGACAGGTGGTGCAGGCTGCCGCTGGTGTCGCTCACGCTGCGTATCTGATCCGAAAATGGTCCAACCGAGCGTGCTGCGTGATGGTGGCTGTCTGCATGATATCTTTTTGCGTGCAAGGACTCACGGCTGGCTCTCGGGAGTCGGATCTTGCTACGGACTGTCTTCTGAACACCGCTCGCGATCATCGCACATGTGTCAGCATGTTTGACGTCGAGGCGGGGCAGCTAGACTTCGGCCCACAGCCGTGCCCAGGCCAGCCCCAAGAACAATTGCTCGCGTATGGACAATCTGTGATGTATCAGCTCACTAAGCACTGGATCTTCTGGTGCGCATTATCTAAAAATCTAGTACTAAAAGCCGTGCGGCGCGCAACTTGATGCTTGTTGACATGATCGTGAGCACACCCGGGCACGTCTGGGGTGCTTACACGCTGCTCGTGAATGCTAACTCTCGCTCAACGCGATTGAGTACGCCCATTACATCGCCGTTCATCCTGTGACTGACACATCAAGCATGAATCACACCGACGAAAGGGCATAAAAGGGTATGGCACAATCTCCCTGTACATGCCTTCCTTCACCCTTCCCAGCGGAATCGTCTTCAGCTACACCGACAGCGGGATCCCCACATCGAACAAGACCAATTATGTCACGCTGGTGCTCATTCATGGGATCATGTTCAACAACGGTGAGTGTTCTTCCAGCGGTCTGGACTGGACCTCGAGTATGAACTGCGGCGTGCAGGGACCTTCCAGTCCTTAGCTGCCCTCGGGCCCTCCAACGGCGTCCGTGTCATCGCTCCGAATCGCCGAGAATACGACGGGTCCACTCCGCATCCGGACGAGCTCGATTTGCTCATGAACGGGAGCGAAGCGGAGAAGGAGGCCTTCATTGAGGAGATGGGTCGGGACTTGGCGCTACTGGTTGCGGGGCTTATCACTACGCTCTCTCTCCCGGGTGGGGTAGCCGTGGCCGGGTGGTCCCTGGGATCTCTGGCCCTCATGGCTGTCGTCGCGTCGATGGAAAGCTTACCTGAAGATGTGCGCCAGACGCTCAGCAGCTCCGTACGAAGCATAATCCTCTACCGTGAGTTTCACTTCTCCTATTCCGACAAAGCTAATCGTCTGTAGAGCCGCCCACTGTCGTGTTTGGTATTCCAAACCCGGAAGGGATGCACGTGCCTCAGACCGATCCCGAAGTCCCTCGAGCCGAGATGGGACCGTTCTTTGCCCGTTGGGCGACGAGCTTCTTCTTGCACGGCGACCTCTCGACCCGCGACCTACGAAATCTGTCGTACTCCCGCACTGACCCGAATCGGCCGCCGACCATCGAAACTATCCCAATGGACGGCATCATAGACTTGACGGCGGGCGCCAAGGCTGACGCGATGCTCGTTTCTCCGAGTTTCGCCGCTGCCACTGCAAAACTGGCTGGCAAAGCGCTGTTTGATACGCACGTGCGCGGCCAGCTGTGGAAAGACAGCAAGTTCTATCTTGTGACCGGTTCGACTGATGGCTGGAACTCAATCTACGCCGGGTGGAAGATCGAAGAGCGGATGCTGGCGGAGGCGAAGCCCGAGTGCGAGATCACCTTTGAGTTGGTGGACGGCGCCAATCACTTCGTACGTTTCAGTTCCGTTCGAGATGGCGCTTCAGGCTAATCGATCGTGCTCGCAGTTCGTCATGGAGGAGCCGCAGAGGGCACTTGATTGTTTCAAGCAATGGTTTGGCAATTAGTTTGCCTTCACTCTATCAGATCGCGGAGAGAACGTCCTCCCCCGAGCTCCAGTCATGAGAGCGATGCTGTCCTTCTCTGATGCCATTACTTTACTGCATCGTTGTTGAGTTGTTAATGATAGAACTACTAGATATAACATTGGTTTGGAGAGTTTAGTCGGGTCAGCTCATGTTTCTTACGATATTGTGTCTGCTTTATCACATTTCGACTGTACACCACTGCACTATTCAGTTCACCGCCCACTTGCTGCAACTACTTGGACATGACGTGCCGCCGGACGATCCGGATCAACGAAAGCCGGGGTCTTCTTTGACAGCGCTGCCTTTCTCTCAAGTTGCTTACTACATTGACTGCAACGACGCCTACTGCGGTCGAGCGACCATACGCCGGCTCGACGACGGGTGGTGATGGATCTGGAGGCAGGCCAGCGGGGGGCGGACGCGGACGATTTCGGGAGCGACGACGGCGAGTTGGTCCTGTTGTCGGATGCAGTGGTGCAGGCGCTCGAGAGCGCAGAGCGGCATGCATTTGGGCGTGAGAGCCCCGTCAGGTCCTTGAATCCACCTACGTAGACACGTGTCGGGAGCTGATATCCAAGGACCCAGCGCCGCCTCCGACGCGTACGACGAGATGTTCACGGACGGCTTTTCAGACGAGTGGATGCACGCGTGGGCGCGCCTTGAAGCGCCCTGCGGCACATCCACATGTACGCCGACCTTGAATTCGGAGCCACCATCTTCTCTTCCGCCCAGCAGTAGCATTGCACCTTCCTGCGAATCTGAACCTCCTCCATCGTGCGATTCCGGCCCCATGGAGTTCGACGATATGTTTCTGGACGATCACACGGACGAATGGCTGCGTGCTTGCACTGTCCTCGAAGCCCTGAGTGCTCCCAAGGCATCGTCCGTGGTTAGTCGTCAGGGTTGCGGAATTGAGAGGTATGTGCCACCGTCAGCTGCAAGAGGTGCTCAATGGAATTCGCAGTCAAGATGATGTTCCATCAGTAATACATCCTGACATCTCCACCGTATTGCCCTTGCGGTTGGAGGCGGCAGACCACTGCAGCAGGCTGGACGATCATGGGTGAGTTTCCCTACAGTCATTGCTCTTGCACGTTTCCCTGAAGGTCTCTCAGACCAACAAGCCCGAAACCACTTCCGTTTTCGCCAGCACCAGCTCCTGAGGACCAAATAACGACTGCTGACTGGTATTTTCTATGTGTCTGTCTTGTAC